TTAAAGGGTCTTACAACTGATGAAACTAAAACTGCAGAAGGATTGGTAATTTCTTATTTTGGAAAATGATGACGTCACATGAAAAGCGGCAATATGTTTTGATTTTTAGGAGACGTTTCATAACAGAGTCGTTTTCTGCACTATTGGCCGTCTTTTTGTTCGGCTGGGCTTTCGTTTGTTGTGTGCTCGTTTGGCTGTTCATTATTTTGCCTTTCATTCGAAACCACAACGGCAACGGCAACGTGTACAGTGGCTGTGTAAACGTGTGTTATAATTCTTTGTTCATTTCTTTGCCGTTCTCTGACAACTGTGAGAACAACGTGAATTTGCGGCCACACTCTGCATTTTCAAGATAAAGTGAAGGTTAAATATAAAGGCTGAATATAAAGTCGAAATGACATCAACGCGGAAAAAAAATCCGAGCTCCAGATGGGATTTGAACCCTCGACCCTGCGTGATCTAGCCGGACGCTCGCGCTCTAGCAACTGAGCTACAAGAGACTCTATGGTCTATGGTCTTTATATAACAACCTAAGTTATTCTCGCATTTTGATTGGTTCTTACCTATGATCTATTAGAGGACAGACGCACGATTGATGTCATTATTACAAAGTTTTTACGTCTGTGTTTTATCTGGAAAGAGTTAAAATGGCGGAAAGGTTTCAAAATTTAGATAATATTTTACGTGACTGGGCAAACGATAAGGTACAAAAAGGTCTTGTCGAGGCATTGAACAGGTACGAGAAGGAGGAGGAAGAAAGATAAAGCCGTTTCTTTCTTAGAAAATGACTCAGGAAAAATACTCGAGCAGTCTCAATCGACAATCGAGCGAGACTAAACCAAGCACAAAATTGGTCTTGGTAAGCCGAGAACCATTGCTTTATCTCGAATTTAACAACCCAATGAACAAACCGTTTATGAGATTAATTCATTTAAAAAGTTCATCTTTTTTCAGTCTCAAAATAGCTGTTGACACACTGATTGATGTCAGGAATGAAACATCAAAACATATCGAAACATCACTTCTAAAAAACCTTGCTTTCCGATGCGAATGCTCCAGTCCGTTTCAGAGCACAGCAGCAAGCAAAGTATAGCTCACTACAGCTCACGGCCAACTGTATCGCAGCTAAAAGGTGTCTNCCAACCACAGAGGACACAAATTTCCACCGTCACTAATGCTCCTTTCATTCAAAACTCGAATCGAATACCCTCCAGGTTGACCGCAACCGCAAGTTTTCCGAACGTATTTTTTCGACTCTTGCAATATTCAAGGCAACGTCCAAGCTTTTTGGCTCACAGGGCTGCGCTAATGACAAAAACTGACTTGACTTTTCCAGCATTTTCTTTGAGATTTGTAGATATCGCAGTTCTATTCTGCTTTCGCTGTATGTTTTCATTCCACGAGAAGCGACGCTCGAGTCAAGTTTGATTTGCAAATTCATGATTTGCAGTGTTTAGTTTTTTATGAAGTTTTGGAAATGTGCTGTTTTATATGTTCTGTCAACGAAAGAGTGGTTGTGATTAAACAATCGAAAATCGTTTTGTCAGGGTAAAGACAATACGAATGTTCATTGATGACAAGTATACGGTTAACAACTAACAAATTAATTTTCTGTGAGTAATTAATTAGCGTTGCCAAATATCTTTAAAGATAATAAGGTGTCGATTTCATACAGAGAAACTTCTACTTTGCGGCTTTCCTTTGCTGTTTGTAGGATCAGCGGAGTGCTTTTAATTTCAGCTT